AGAACCTCTCTAAATTCATCCCTATAAAAATTTAACAATGAGATAATGCAAAATATTTAGTTTTTATTTTCAGAAAAATAACTAAATTCTGAAAAAGCTTGAAACAACGAATACTGCATGTATTCCTATTTGTTTGAACCCTGCATATAATTAGTGGACGATCCCAAAGTTTGCACTATGCAGTTTTTCGATTTTTCAAATCAGTTGTTAAGATCCGTATTTAAATTCGTAGAAAATGGGATGTTCTTTATATCCACTAAATTGCCGGCCAGGTGGCCGAGCGGTCTGACTGTGAAGCCAATGGTTGCAGGTTCGAATCCCGCTCAGGGCATGGATGTTTCTCTCTGTGTGTGTTCTCTATTGTGTGAATGTGGCCCACCCTATAAACGGGTATGTGGCAGCGTGGCGTGGGTAATGTTGCTCGTCTCCGTGACTTAGGTTCACAGGTGCCCACTGGGTAACGTTAAATGAGTAACAACTCCGGCATCTTCCTAGGCGAAGAACGAAAGTTCAGTGCCTGCCGTTAAAAAAAAAATATTTTTAATTGTCTACTTTGACGTCACAGATAACAAAATAAATTAAAATAGTTGAAGCAAGCAACATCATAATATAAATTTTTCATTGATCATCAACTTCTGTCTCAATTTTTTAGCGTTTATTAACATTGATTGGTAAGCAATATAGGATAAAATTACTCTAACCTTAATTTATCAAAAACATATATGTAAAAATAATAGCGGGCTTATAAACCTTTCATAGCCGACCGAATTGTGTAGGGGTCAAGGAACTGCCCCTGCATCAGAAAAGTTCTGGGTTCGAATCCCGGGCAAGGCATGGATGTTCTTTCATTCTCTGAACTATCTATCCTTACTGTTGGAGCAACTAATATGGTGCCCCTGAAAGAGTGGATAGCAAATCTGCTCTGTAAATGCATGAATTAACGAAAGGTTAAGACAGGTGGGCATTGGCAATAATTAAAAAAAAAAGAAGTTTTTTATACATTTAAGAAAAACAAATTAAAATTTATTATATAACAAATTTTTCAAGTGTGTTAAATAGGAAACAATTTTATAGTTCTAATTTCTGAAACGTAGAGCTCATAACTTTCGAGAGACATCAGGGGAAAGATGAATTTTTCGGTGATGATAGAAGTTATAAATTTTTACTTTAATAATGCAATCTATGTTAGTTAAGACTTTATACCCATTTTAGGTGTGACAAAAATTAAAACATTTAGCCAATTCAAAACATTTTAAAGAAGTAGTTTTTAACATTTTTATTTTCAGTTTTATACTTATAAGTTTCTTTGAGTTCCCATTTAAACGTGGTAGAACTTTCGAGGAATAAATTGATGATAATATCGCCATAATTTCAATNACTAGCATTGTTTTTAACAAATGAAGCTGAAATGGCGTCTTGGGGACGATTGTAACAATAAGTAAAAAAACGATTGTAACAGCTGAAAATAAATAATCTTATGTTTACAAACCATTACTTAACACTTTAAGAACCACCAATAGTTTCCTATATCATTTATATTATGTTGCATGTGCATTATTTTATTTGTCTCCTTTCACAGCATAAATTAAAATTTTTAACCCTTTAAAGTTGAAAGTTTAACCTTTTAGGTCTCTGCACATTATTATTTTTACTCCCAAAATATCACTACTACTATTTTGATCAATAAAAAAATATATCACAACTATGATAATATGTATAATTAACTATGTTTTGGTTGAATTTATGAACTGTTACAATTGACCCCGCAAGTGGGGACAATTTTAACAAGTGCAGGACTGTCAAAAATTGTTAATAACTAATATAATAACATTTAAAATAAGGTATTTTTTTTCTATTAGAGGATAGTCTACTTTACTCGTATGTCAATTAATACTAATAATATATTGGATTTTTTGTTAGTTAAAAAGAGTTAAGTAAAAAATGCTACAATTGACCCCAGTCCCCCCTAATGTTATTATTGCACTTAGATTTTTTTTTTCTTTCAAAATTAAGAGTTAAGGAGGATTGTTTTTATTATAATTATTATTAGAATAATGTAATTTTACGTTACAATTTAAGATAAAGTTATTTAAATCGGTGTCTGATCTTATAAATTTCTTTGGGTGCAAATTACATTGATATACTACGGTTAAAGAGATTCGTTAAATGATTTAGAACTTAACTTTCAGCTTCATGCACAAAGTGATGAATACGAAAATTGTATTTAAAATACAACCGTTCGTTTGGTAAGCAAAAATATTAAATTACTGTTGTGAATTCACCAAATTTGTTATCAAAATATACTTCTAATTTTAAATGTTTTTTCAAAAAATGATAACTTAGAAAAATGATTTATGTTCACTTAAGATCTTGATAGTTTTATAAAGGAAATATTTGGACGTGGGAAGCGGAGGCACAAGTGTTCCTTTAACAGGGTGCGCAGCCAAATTATTCAACGAAAAATAAGCACCTTTTAAGCACTTTTCAAGCACTCTAATAATATTTTTAAGCACTTTAAAAGAATATCATAATTAGGCAGGGTTGGAAAGTTTTTGACAATTGACGGTTTTATCTTGTTTTGACAGTCATGTCAAAAAAATTATTTTGTTTTTGACAATAGTCAAAATTTTTGAATCATGTAAATCGAATGGCGTTTTCATAAGCTACGGTCTGACGATGCGCCGAAATAGATTGGGGGTGAATTAATTGTGAAAACGTTGAAACAATGGGAACAGTGTCTTTCTGCATAATTCGTAGCGAAAATCAACATGTTAAAGGAAAAATCCCAATTTGGAAAAGAGAAAATTAAGCACTTTTTAAAAACACCCAATGAAAAAAGCACCTTTAAGAGCTTTCAAAAAACGAAAATAAGCACCTATAAGCACTTTTTAAAAACGCTACGCTCCCTGTTTTAGTACATATATTTTTAGTTTAATAATTTTAAATGTTTTATGTCAAGAAATAGAAATTATTGTGCAGCAATAATCGGGGTTAGTGAGCGTCAGCAAACAGGGTCTTAGCACTCTAGTTATATGAGAAATTTCAATTGTTATTTTCTTTTAACTTTGTGTTTTAATTACATTTTTTGAGCATAAATATAATATTGCACGCTTGCTTAGTTTGAAAATACAAATATAAAAACAATTTAAAACTATTCAATTTTCCTAATTTTATGTTTTTATTATAACCAAAATTTAAACAACAAGATGATGGAACACTTCTTGTTACTCCCTCCTCCCCTTGTCTCCTCAAAAGGTATTATCTTTAGTGGCCCCTAAATGGTTTAAAAGTAGTTACGACCAGGCATGAATTTTCCAGGTGTCGCTTTAAGAAAATTTTTAAGTTTCTGAATTTCCTGAAAGAAATGGAAGATAAATTTACATTATTCATAGGTAATCTAAAGTTATCGATGATCGTCTTGTAGTAAATATAAATTAATGAAAACTTTTTAGGGTCTTGATACAGTTAGATGCAATGCACAGGGGTTTATCATCAGGGGTTTCCAGCTTACATGAGGCCAGGGGCCGTAATTAAAAACCCCAGTCAAATGGCGGGCAGCAACTTTTTCAAAATTTAATATAGGACTCTTTTATGTTTGAAGGAACATTAAATATTACTGTCAGATACGCACATGCTAAATGATATTCACAAAATGCAAAAAAAAAAAAACGAAATAAAAAAGAGCAACATATACGATTATTTTTGTATTTGGTTAAATGTTTTCTTGGATACAAAACCTGAGAAATAATTATTTTTGCACCGTTGGTATGTTAAATTTCACAGAAACGAAGAAATTGTGACATTTTTTTTTAAACGAAAGAAAAGTATTTAAAACCCATATAGATTTTTTACGAAAATTGTCCGCAAAAAATGATAACTAATAAGTTTTAGTTCGTGGGCCGCCAGTTGGTAACCACTGCTATAGATGCTCCGTAATGGTTCAACGAAAAAAATCAGAACATTTTTCAAAACAAGGTAGACAAAAATCAGGAAAATGTTTGGAATTGTAGACATATACCCGAATACTTTAAAAAAGATAAATGACAAATTGATTTCAGAATTTCGCTATTTATATTTAATTCTCTGTTGCATTAAAAAAACATCGGGTATCAATTCGTTAATCCAATTAGTATCTCATACCATAATTTATTTTAAATTGTAAAGGAGCTCAAGACTTTCTTAATCAACATTTCGGAAGATTTCAACATAGTAAATATGTCTCTCGACATTTTTACAAAAGTAATAAAAGGAGACGATCTCCGAAATCCCAATTTAAAAAATTTAAAATATGATTACTGAATTGTGGATTAGAATGGATGATTTTTTAAATAAATCAAACAGTCGAATCAATTATAGTAGAACTACAAAAATTCATCCGACAAGATTTGTTACAGCATTTGCTGGAAATAAAAACGATTAGGACATCTCTAAATTCATCCCTATAAAAATTTAACAATAAGATAATGCAAAGTATTTTAGTTTCATAAAAATAACTAAATTCTCAAAACGCTTGAAACAATGAATACTGCATGTAATGCTATTTGTTTGAACCATGCATATAATTAGTGGACTGTCCAAAAGTTTGGACAAGGCAGCTTTTCAATTTTTCAAATCAATTATTAAGATCCGTATTTAAATTCGTAGAAAATGGGATGTTCTGTATATCAACAAAAATCAAGAATATCAGGACAAAAAGTTAAATATTAGAAAAAATAAAGACAATTTTTTTCCACCAGGAATTTCTGAGCTACTACGAACCCTGCACTTAAATCAATACTAGAAAAGACACCAAATTAAGTGTACTTTGTATTGGCAAAAAAACTAAATAGGTTTAAAATAATTTTATAAAAGCTGTTAGTAAAATTTTGCATGTCCTGGGCACAGATTTAAGAAAATAAGTTGATTTAAACAAAAGTAATTATTTAAAGACACAGGTTGATTTAACAAATAGCCTACACTTAACTACAAACGCTAATAACAGCGGACCCGAAATGGCGGCTTAGTCAGTCTAGGTTTTAATTCATTCCAATAAAAGTATCACTCATTCTAATTCATCATAAGAGTCACGAAATAATTTTTTTAAAAAGAATACCGTATTTATAAACTAGAGCTAATTAAATGAAGGATTAGGGTATCATAGAAAATTTAACATGCACTTAAGGAAAAGCTAAAATCTTTAAAAATATGATTAATGACTATTCGAGGATAACTTAAAATGATGGTTAAAATATTTCTAACCAGAGCAGTTTGAAAATATTTAATAAGAGCCTTTTTTTGCTGGATTCGGAATTGATTATTTAAGCTTTCAACTTCTTTGTTGGTGATAATTTTTCACGATGCAAAACACCAAAGACGATATATCGCGTATTACCGAAACAGTTAGTTTGTGCCGTAGAGTCGCAAATACTATTCGAAAGTGTATGAAATGTGAAACAGACCGTATAACTAAGAAAGCAGATGTTTTAAAACGTGGTTTTCGAGAAAGAAAGTTCGAAGATCTGAATAAACTTACCAGTTCTATGCTAGAAGTTGATTTCCACAATTTCAATACTTGTTGCGCTTACATGGTTACTTACGCAGCTTGCTATTCCGAACTTACCTACATTGCTGCGGCAATTCTCCAGAATACCACTAACGAACTTCATGAAATTATAGACAAACAAAGTTTGTTGACAATCACGAGTATAAATGGCGGACCTGGAAATGATTTGCTAGGCTTTTTGTATAGTTTGTGTGGGAAGTATTCGAATCTTATAAAATTAAACTTGAATATAATTGATTCGAACATCCAGTGGCAGGTGTTCTTCTCTACTTTGATGTCCGAAGTAGAGGCGAATGGAAATTGCAATAAATTGGGAAAATTTATAAGTGAAATCAAACTGTCGCATAAATTTGTCCATGGTGACGCAACCCACGGTAGAAGATTTGGAGAAGTGAAAGAAACATTGGAAAATTCAGATCTTGTTCTCATGGTTCAAACATTAAGTTTGATGACGATGGGGAAGAAAATCGATCTTTTACGGGTAAGAAATTTTAAAAATTTAACCCTGAATAACTAAACTTAATTCAGACCAATCATTCGACTAATAGACTACGAATTAAAAATAAATATACATTTATATTTCCTTTATTTATTTCAAACAAATTAGTGTAACTTAAAAAAGTATAATATTTAAATAAAAATAGAAATACAGTAAAAATTATCGTTTGCATTCTCGGTAGATATTTAAATTGTGCTCGCCACAATTAACCTTTCTACGTTTCTGTTCAGAATCTGTGTTATTTAGATGGACAGAATAAAAAATATTTACAGTAGTAATAAAATGCAAATATGTATACAACTATAAAGTAATAAGTGTATTATTTTTGGATATTCATTTTTCTAACTATGAAAGTAGTGTGAGCACAATGAAAATGTCTCGATTCCGCGTAACAGGTGTTAAATATGGTGAGATGATCTCAGGGTTTAATCATTACAAAACGCCTTTAACATAAAATATATTTAATAACAAACACGGATGACGGTTATGATTCAGTGGCATGGAGGAAACTGATTGCAATTAATGATATGATTTCACATTGCTGCGCAGAGCGCCATCTGTTTAGTTTCAGAAATTATTATTATTAATATTGAGATATTATTAACAACAGGGTTCCTACACAATTTCAGAAAAAAAAATTCCCTAACTTGTCCAGATAGATCAGGAAAATTTTAATGAAAATCCAGACCATATTTTATTTATACCACGCAACTTTTCATCAGAAAACTGATTTTCTTATTCGTAATGTCGAATATTCGATTTTGTGAGTAAAAGATTATGGAACGAGGAAGGAAGGTTAGAAAAACTTCACTAAATGTGAAATTTTTACAGCAAATATTTGTAATGGATGTTAGAATAATTTAACTCGAATCTCATCAACCTGTTACAAAGCATTGAATATTCAAATTCAATGAGAAAGTCCCATAATAATAAGTGCAATTTGCCAACATCTTAATCGCTTCTCTGATTATCCCGAGTGAACTCAGGTATGCATATATTGCAATTATTTATTATCCCGAGAAAACTCGGGCGTAGCAGAATGTGTCAGTACGTTTTGTTTTTATTATGCGTTTGTATATACAATGGTTGCTGAATTTACTTAGAAAAAAAGAATAAAAAAAAAAAAAATGGCTTATCACTATGTGTTCTCTCTCGTTTTAAAAACTATCATATAAAGACTAATATTTTATCTTTTCCATTTGCCCGAGATAACTCGGGATAGTAAACTGATGGTAAATTTAATCTTTTTTACGCATAAAAAAGTTAAAATTTCACCTTAAAACTTAACTTATGTTTTGTTTTAGTTTCTTGCATTTTTTTAATAATATATATTTTAAACTTTTGTAATATTAAATTTTTTTCATTTGCCCGAGATAAATTGGGACTGTAAACTGATGGAAAATTAAATGTTTGTTACGCATTAAAACAATTAAAATTTCATCTTAAAACTTGTGTATTATGTTTTGTTTTAGTTCCTTGTATTTATTTATGAAAGTAAAAAAAAAATAGTTAATTTTTCGCATTCTGATTGCAACAAATTTAAACAATATTATGATTCAATGCATTCCAAAATTCCGAACAGTTTATATAAAAAACAGAATATTCAACCATAAGTTATTTAAGGTATTAATGTTTTTTTTCGGGTACTGAATTACATATTTCTATCTTTAGGAAGTATTGGATTTAATGAAAAGGAATGCAATTATCCTCATAGTGGATTCTGAGTGGCCCTCTTTGGTTGCAGGTTACACTCAAGGACATTATGAAGTGATACTGAACATGAAGGACTTAGTTGCATGCACCAAGCCCAGTACTGTATATAACTGTCAAAACATAACAGTTTGCGTAGCAGATGCAATAGCTTTGAAAAAACTATGAATGATGTTCCAAAAGTATTTATTATTTAATAACACTTTTAAAGATTTTTATTTAATAAAATAAATATCATAACAATTCAGTAAATTATTATGAAAAGCTAGTAGAGATGTTTTGTTGTTGTTGACGTGAGCCATTGGGATGCGATTGTTCTTGTTTCCAGTGGCGTCATCTATGGGCAAGAATTCCACTTCTGCCACACCCATACGTCACAACAGTTTATAAGACAGACCCATTCATAACATCCACAGATTGCAATTTTAACCTGAATCAGAGAACGCTCCATCTATATTTCCATATCGTGATCTGTCGCGCCAACTACAATCGCCAAATAGATTTTAAACTTGGAATAAAAAATATAGAAAAAAAAAATATTCTTCTATTAATATAGGATGAATAGAATCTCGGCTAGCTGATAAACCATGCCAATAATGACTGCATTGATGGCATTTAGTGAAAATGGTGACCAATAGCGATCGGTAATAAATCAGAAGAAAATAAAACTACCTAAATTTCCTTATTTATTTAATTCAGATTATTATTGATTAAAAAAAAACACACTACCGATTTTGATAGGAACATATATCCTTGGTAATATAGACGCTAAGTGATAGTTTCAAATGAGTGGTTAAATTGATGAAGTGAATATTAATGCAATGAACATTTTAACTTTTTTGGAGCAAGTTCCATCATTACAGCAAAACTGGAAAAAGCTTCACTTGGATAAATTTAAAAATAACCTGAAAATCTTAATGTTTTTTAAAAATCTCAAGTGCAACAGATTTTTTATTATTATTTTGTATAATGCATTGTACTATTATATAATTGCATGGGTATTTAAAGAAATACGGTACACAGGGTGTTCCATAACAACCTCTCTTAATATTTATTATAAGAATCCAGGGTTGGGGTTTTGGACGTCCTAAACTGGTTTTGGACAAGACACGTGGGTTTTACTGTCTTAAACTGGATTTTACTGTCCTAAACTGGGTAAAACTGTCCTAAACTGGGTAATACTGTCCTAAACTGTCTTAAAGTGCCCAAAATCTTGAACTTTGGTAAAAATTCTATAGGTGTAACCATTGTACACATAATAATTACATGTATCAATAAATATTTGATATTTTTTATACAATTTACTATAACTTATTAAAAGAAAATAATATAATATAATAGGAAAAGGTTTATAATTTTTGAAGCTCCACAATTCATTGAACAACAAAAGTGAATACCTAATCCTTTAAATATAAATATGCTTTTAATACTGATAAATAATATTTTTGCATAAGGATAAATATGGCAATATTAAAAAATAATAATTTTTCTTAAAAAAAATACTAAATTTGTTCAAAAATTAACCTTTTATTTTTCACAATATTTTTTTAAAAAAATGTTATAATTTCTGCATCACAGGATGATAAAAAAGACATCTCTTTTTTAAAAAAAATTGTTTTTAAATATAAATATATTAGTTTAAATTGAAAATACAAAATAACTGAAAAATGTATTAACAGTTTTGAAGGGCATAACATCAGTTTCAGTTACTGACACTGGTGATGTATCACCACTATGCTAAAAGAATTGAACATGAATGAAATAAAAGTATTCTTGAATAGTACTATAGATAAATAAACCTGTTTATGACGAACCAAGCACTTAGTCCCTAATATTTTAACCTGTATGGCAAGGCCAAACTTCAGTTATGTACTATTGAATGAGAGGACCAATTGAACTTGATTACTGATTAATCTTCCTTTGTTTAAATTGAAGAGTCAAACAATATTAATAAAACATTATACTTTTAAAAACAAATATTCTCTAGTATATTTAATTATCAATATGTTATTAGTTCTATGTTTATTTTACCTCTTAAATATTGTTCAGATAAAATTGTGACATAATATGAGTAAAAGGGTTTTGGACAGTTTAAGACAGTTTTGGACAAAGGGGTTTTGGACAGGACGGTTTAAACCAGGGTTTAAACCGTGGATTAATCCATTCTGTCCTAAACCTTGCCAATCCTGTAAGAATCCTACTCAAAATTAAAGTTAATGGAATAGTATAAACATTTCTTGTTTCAATTTTTAAGTGAGGAAAGTAAGATGAAAACAACAAAACCAGTTTGATTGCCCGTTGAAACCTGGAGGTGTCTTATATATTTGTCTTTCTGCTTATTCCGGCAATCAAAAGGTTTAGATTTTTTCAGTCCCATTCTTTTGATTAGAGATTCCATAGATTTCTTTAGTGTTATAGCCATTTCTTTGTTTAAATATCAATTTAAGACATTTCATGAGAATACTTTTCTCATAAAGATTCTAAAAACAATTCGATAGAGTGATAACTGTACACCCAGAATTAACTGCAGTGAAGAACGCTGAAAAAAAAAATTATGCCCACATGGATTCTCATCAGTTTATGCAATAGAATTTTCTATTTCTGGGAAAAAGAATTCAAAATTAAAACAGTAGCTAAAATTTCTTAATCTCTTGAAATTAAAAAATCGTAAGGTTCATCTTAACCTTGCATTTTGAAACTTGAAATTACTTAAGTGTATAGAAAAGTGTACAGGGATTAAAATGAAATAAAAAAAATGAACTTTCGAGAATTATTAACTAAATTGTACTTGAAATTGAATTATTAACTAATTGTAACTTGAAATTACTAAAGTGTATAGAAAAGTGTACAGGGATTAAAATGAAATTAAAAAAATGAACATTCGAGAATAATTAACTGTTAAACTTATTGGAAAAAATACCATACAGGCCGCAGGAATGCAACCACAGAATTACATATTTGCATGCAAAAAGGGCCATATTTGTTTAGAATTTTTAGTCGAAATTCCAATTTGTTCGAAAGGTATAACGAATATTAAGTGTTGTTTTTTGCAAATATGCGTTGTATTTTGTTTTACTGCTCAAAATCTGAAAGACTTAGTAACTACAGAGGCGTGTTGAAATATACAAGGAGTTCGATGTAATAATAATAATAAAAAAAAAACATGTTTGTCCACTGAAATGCTAGTACAGAGTTGAAATTTGACATGGTGATAGAACTATTTTGAATTATAACTGTAACGACAGTTTTTTTTTTCAAAATTTCTATTTGTGCAAAAGTTATTGCAATTTTAAATGATTTTTTGCAATTTTTTCTTTAATAATGTTTGAACTTTTTTTTAGCCTATACTGCAATTTTATATCTCTTTACCTTTTGCAATTTTTGTAAAACAATGTATCTCTTTTTAATATGCAATTTTCATTTTATAAGCCAGCGCCTAACTTAATGTCAAAAAAAAAAAAGAAAAAAAAAAGAGAGTTTAGATGTTGCCAGTTATAAATTTTAACAATAATATCAACATTTTTATAAATATAGACTGATGAGAGATAAAAACTGTTTCCAATGCAATCTGTTATATGATATAAGGTTATCGTTATATATTGCTAAGAAAATTAATTCTCATTATGGCTTATTGTGTCACACATTCTGCATTCTTAGGTTCAATTTTTCCTTCAAGTACATTTGACTATTTTTAAAATCCATCTATCCTTTCATATTGTTGAGATTAACATATTAATAAAATGTGCTTTCATAAAATTATGATTATTATATGTTTTTTCTTAACAAAATTATCTTTTTTTATTGACTTTTAAAAAGATAAAGAGGGATCAAAAACTGATTCTGATTGCAAAAACTCCGGGGGAGGGGTATCGAAATGCAAAAAAAAATGAGTTTATTTCATACCTTAAAAATATAGTTTTTAAAATATGTATTATTTCTTTAAAACTTTGTTTCAAACATGAAATGAATTTATAATACATAATAAAACTAATTTTCAATATTATAGAGGCTATAATGATGAATAGAACAAACATTCCAAAACTGTAAAGAAAAATGAACTTAAATGTTCCATAGAAAGTTGATTCCAGTTTTGATTCTAGGATTCATTTAGCAGTAAATTAATGATAATCATCCTGATTAAATAATTTAGTTGCTGACAAACTAAAAATATTTTATATAATTGTTTTTAAAAAAAGCTAATAGACAAACTTTTTTGTTTTAATACTTTTTAATTGCAATAAAAAAACAATGAAGGTAATACATAAATCACAACTCAACTCTGCTTATCTCAAAACAAATCAAAATTTTACAAAAAAACAATATTTCAACAAATAATTGCTTAATTATACATTCATGTAACAAAAGCAAGTGCTTAAATATATATATATATATTTTAGAAGTATATTTTACATTAATGTATAGATTAATTTTACATTAATGTATAGATGATAATTTTTGATTTTGTCATACTTTTCAGTATCTTTAAAAAATGTGATAAAAAAATTACCGAGTTATGTTTCTTTTTAAACAAATCCGAACAAAAAAATAAGTAGGGTTTTATATCTTATGTTTTAATAAATGATAGCACACAAAAAACAAGCAAAACATAAAATTTATATAGTGTATTACAAAATTAAAATAATTTGGTGATAAGATAGTTTGAAGAGTTGATTAAAAAAACCTTACAGTTCTTGGACCAAAACTGTAATGAACAGAAATATTAAATAAATATCGAGATTGCAAATTTGTGTAGCAATCAGTTAATTTAGAAACTGTATTAAAATTCTATTTAATAGAAACTCAGTTATTATATTAAGGTAAAACTTAACTTAGTACAGAGATTCTAAAATCTTTGTACTAAGTTCTAACAATCTCTCTGTACTACATTCTGTACTATCTAATCTCTGTACTACAGAGCACTATCTCTGTACTCTGTATTAATTAAAATGTTGAGATTGCAAATTTGTATAGCAATCAATTTAGAAACTGCACTAAAATTCTATTTAATAGAAACTCAGTTATTATATTATGATTAAAACTTAGTACAGAGATTCTGTAATACATCAATTATTAAAAGCACAAAAAATTTACATTAACAAAATTCGATAAAAAAATTAAGTTTAAAAAAGTTCAATTTTGCAAATTTTTTTTTTTGATGCATGGACAAAGAATCAGCACATATATAAGTTTTTCATAATTAAAAAATCTGAGCCAAAAGAATAACTTGAATGATATAGTAAAGATTATTTTATCTTGCAAATTTAAACAATGCATATAAGTTTATGTGACATTAAGAAAGAAAAACAAATTTAATTTTGCAGTATACTTTTATCAAAGTACAATTGATGCATAACTCACTTTATCTATTATTGGTAATCACAAATCTAACCCTCTCATGCATGAATTTGTCATTTGAGTTATTAAAAACATTTAGATATGTTACAAACCTGCTGTATTTCATAATTGTGAGTAATAACTTATTCTTTGAAATTTCTGTTTCGTATAGTCGGAAATAGGAGGATCTATGCTTTTGTGGTATATTTTATCAATATAATTCTACTCACAGAAAAACTGAATATTCAAACTTCGTATTTAAAATAATACCAACCTTTCCAGTAATGTAATATACTACCCTCAATAATAAATAAACAAAATATCAGATTTTCATTTTTTTCTTCCTTTTTTAAATCCTCCATCGATTTCCAAAGAGATTATATTCTTTTAATTATTATAAATGGCCTGCCATCTATGGTGGTTTTGAAGAGCTGTTTTTAGTCTCCAACTGAGGACTACATGCAAATTACAAATGTGAATCCGCATAATATTATATAGCAAAAATATATATGTTCTCATATAAGGTCCATAAGCAACAGTGAGTTTTCTTTTTTTTTTTTNAACAGTGAGTTTTTTTTTTTTTTTTTTTTTGAAAATTTGTTAACTTGCAGAAAAGTAATTCAGCTTAATAAGAGTAGTGTTCTCTTTTTTTAAAAAGCGACAAGATAAGCATCAAATATAAGCAGTCAATTATATTCTTCCAAGAATCTTTCGAAAAAAAAACAGGTTTAGTTATTTGATTAAAAATTCTTTTTCGATGAAAGGTTTTAAAAGGGTTTGGGTGAATATTTTCAACATTATACAAACTTTATCGTCAATTAAAATTTAAAAATAATTTGCAAAAGTTCAAGTACTTACTTATTCTTTGTAAAAATAGATAAGTGAAAAATTTAAGCAGGACATATAAGGGCATTTTACAATCACATTAAAAATAATTTATATTTATAAGCTAATTTTCAGATATGATAATAATAAATAGTTTTATTTTTTCTTTGAATGGATTAACACAGAGAAAAAAAATAGGTTCCTAAAAACATGAAGTTAAATTTTTATAGATCAACAAACTTTCATTTGTGACACTTACTAAAAGGTTTGCAATATATCATTTCCTGATTAAAATTTTCATGCACTGACGATTTGTAAGTCACTTGTTTTTCTAATTTACGATAAATATGGTGTTTGTACTTATCCTCATGGTTTAGATTAGCTCTAAACCAGGTCCATTAAACTGTGAAAATGTTCCATGAATTTTGAGGCTACCATTAACGTTTTTAAGAATGAAACTACTACAGTAACTATAAATATAATCAATCAGCACTATATTTTTCTAGGAAGCCAATTTTAGACACAGCTTATAATCACGTAATTAACGATTGCCTGCTTTGAAGTAAAATAAATTAAGTTTTTTTTTCTTCTCTTAACACCAAATCAGTTAAAAATAATATAAAATGCACTTTAAGAACTAATTAGTATTTTTTATGCTCTAAAATAAGACATTTATATATATACAGAAAAAAAGAATACTCATTGATTTAAATTCTGGTTATAAATGCTAACACAAAAGACAAATGCCTATCATTTACAAATTTTTTTTACTTTAATTTATAATCCTCTAAAAATTGTCTGCAGTTCTCTGTAGGTTTATTAGTATTATAATCACAAAAGTGTTACACGAGCTTGTTTAAAATTTTAAGAATTATTTTATTAGTTTAGAAAGCTTACACTTTTTAACAATTCTAATTTCTCCACATTTCTTGAAATGCAAGACAAAATTATTCAATTATGGCTCACTTTAATTTTAAATGAATAATTTAAATATAATTTCAAGCTTTTAATCATTTGATTTTAAACAGTAGACACTCAGTTTGAGTTAATTAAAAATAAAGGCAACAGAAGATTTTCTGCGAATTTTTGGTTTAGAATAAATAAAACACTAATTTTATATTATAATGCGAAAAAAACAGAAAAAAATCGAATTGATTTATTTTTTTTAAAAACAAATCTTAAAGTATTAGTATATACCTATGAAGTTCGAAAAGTAGGTATTAAAATTAAGCAAATTGAGAATACAAAAATATTAAAAAAACTATTATAGATACAGGCACTGTTTTTTAGATTAAGCTCACTTTTTTCTTTTTAAAATTCTTATATATACGCATTGCAGTTATCTATATATGTTAGTAGTAAAATAAAATTTGTTCCAAAAAATTGCAAATTTTTAATCCTTAGAGTGTTATGTAAATTTTAATAAAATTAACTAGAAGCTGCATTCATAAGTAGTAAACACTATATAATAAAAAACACTAAAAATCTATGGAACATGTAATTTTGATTAAATTACTAGAACTTCCAAAGAGTAGTTGCAACAAGTTGTGTTGAAATCTTACACATAGTTTATCTATGCAACATGTTTTTGATTTAATGTTTTACACAGTTTTAAAACAAGTGCTTTAAATGTAACAATCCTGATAAAATGTAAAAACTAAGAACTAACATTTATTAAAATGTTATTTTTCTAAAAAATCACAGACAGGCATACAACAAGTTAAAATCACCATATATATCAAGATATATCTAGCAAAAACAAAGCATCACAAGATTTGTTAATTTTTCTTTCAATAGATATAAAAATATCTAAATTTCAGCCACATTCAATAAAATATATCAACATTTCAGCAAAATCTTGTGAATAGTAATAGCCAATTCATGAGGAAAAGTTTACCTTATTTGGATGAAAGCCATGGAATGAAACTTTAAAATTAAGATTCAGAACCAGCGACAACGAACTTCCGTACGAAAACTCGTATGACAGCTCTGCAAGTAGTTATGTTTGGGTAACCAAATCTTTCAACTTGAAAGTTAAAGTTGAACTTCTCCTTGGTAGCTTCATATACACAATCCAAATAATTTTTGAGAGTCTCAAACTCACTAGATGGATATGGGCAATCAATAAGCACTATAACAGCACCTGGTTTCATAGGAACCACAATATTCTGAAAAGAAAAATATAAATAAATAGCTTAAAGCTTTATATTTTTAATTATCTACCATCTATTATGTTAGGAATTTAATAGAAAATAAAAACTATAGTTATATCGATGACAAACTCCGCAAGCAGCTTATTCTATATTAAAATTTATTATTTTAATTATTCTCCGTTATATATGGATCGATTGAAAATAAAAAGATATTTCCGAAGGTACCTACACCTAAATGGTCGCAAAATTTTGGTGTCGACTTGGAAGTAAGTGGCAACAAACTTGAATAAATAATAATAATAAAAAAAAAACGAAAAGATAAATTTTTAGTCATCTTTGGACAGGTAAAAAACTAAAGATACCTTTGAAAATTAATTGCAAGCATAAAAACTGAAACTATACTTGAGCATATTATTGATTTTAATAAGGAAATATTTCCAACATTTTAGAATTAAAAAGTGTAGTGCTTTAAATAGATATTATTAAATTATTTTTTTCATTATAAATCTAAATCTTTAAAAAAAAAAACTGTAAATTTTGTAAAATTATCATGTAACATTGATTACATCAATGTTACATTATAGTTTTACAAATTAATGGGAAGAGATTTGTATTACTCTGTACCTTTTTCAATCTGTTGCAAATTAAGAGTATAGAGAAAACGGTTAAATATAATAGATTTTATTTTACAAATTTTACTTTAATTATTTAAAAGTTTTTTTTGAATAAAATTACTAAATTTCATCAAAAAAATATTAAAACTCAATAAAACAGGTTTTCTAATGAATCTGCTACACTTTCAATCTAATCACAATTTAATCTAACATTTCTTATAATCATTCAAACCAATAAGGCTGAAATTTTGATTTAAATATATTTTTTATTACCTTTAAATACAAGTAACATTTAAAAGTAATGTGGTCAGGTGTTAAATTAAAATTTCTACTATTAGAACATAATTTTTAAAAAAAAAATTAAGTCAAAAAAAGAAATGCTTACTTTAATAAGCTAATTGAGATTGAAACATTTTTTTTTAAAAATGCAGTCATCTCTCATCAAAGAAATAAAGCATGGAACCAATTAGCTAGCAAATAATGCATAGTATAAAGTAAGATTTTATTTTTAATTTGTTAAGGTTCTTAATCCTAACCTTTAGAGGTTAGTTACTAGAGTAACTAACCTCTAATCAATGCTGATTAATTTCCTAAATGCAGAAAATAAACTTATAAATGTTCTTGGTACCATTTGGTGAGCCAGCCGCATAAATTCCTATTTTTGTGAACATTTACTTTAATATCAATAAATTAAAAAAAGCTTAATTTACTTGCACATGGCTAATCAAAATGTACTCTTTATATAAAGGGCTTATAGCAATGCAATTATAAACCATATTTTCAAATTGTTTAAAACAGCATTTTTCGAGAAAAACATAATTTTAAAGTTGGTATTGAGATATATCAGTGGGTTGTACTGTTGTTTAGAAACTTTAAAAGCACCTATCTGGAAATAATACTAAGGTACAGTTTGATGTAAATATGTTGCTGTTTGAAAAACTGTGGCTTATCACTATATTGCTCTTAGCCCCTTATATACATATAGAAGAAATAGAAATGTCGGAGATTAAAGGAAATAAAATCTCCAGTTCTCAAATGAGTGAGCATTTTAATTAATAAGATGCTTTTATATAGCCAGAGATTTTATTTTACACAATTTTAGTAAAATAAAATGTAGTTATAACAACCTTTAAAACACTTAGTTTGTCTGCATTAGGAACAACAGATAGAAATTTAACAAGCGTAATAATATCAGCATTAGATAATTTGCGTTTGAATTCTGCATTCCATTGGGAAGGATTCTTTAGATCAGCTTGTAGAAAAGATGCACTGACTGCTACTTCTTTGAATATATTACTGGCATTTCCACAATCACCTCGTCTCAAACGCTTTTCAGTTTCTACAAATATTTGCTGCCACCCACTCATTTTATCTACCACGGAAATATCCAAGTTAAGCAACCCATAATGTTTACCGTATAAGGCGCTGAGCACACCGACAAAATCATTTCCTGGTCCGCTACCTAAACACATCAAACCAAGTTGATCTTTCAAAGCTAGCATTCGTCTTATTGCTGCGGGGGGACTTGTGTGAAAAATTTTAAGCATAACAGTATGCACTAAAGCAGTGTGGCATGCAGCATATCTGTGCAGGTAGCCAACACAATTTGAAAATTTATTATAGTCCAAGTCCTCAGGGGTTTTACCATTTGTCACGCGGCCGTAGTTATAAACTAATGTTTTGATCGCTTGTTGCACATGTTCTGGTTGCACGCAACGGTATTGCATAAGAGCATCAAGTAATCGCTCGTAGAAATAAAGAATAATAGAATATTCACTGTCATCGTCTAAATCTAGGGCTTTGTTGCTATCGAATGTTGGCCAATAATCTTCGATGTTTAATACTTCCATAGCACTGGCAAGTAGCGATTCTTCTAAAGAAGCCATTATTTACAAGAAATCGATGAAAGAAAAATGTTCGGTTTCTTATCACGCAATAAGCAACAGGTAAAAAAGCATTGTCAGCGATATTATTTTAAAAGTTATCTGAGAAAATATAAAAACTTTACGCTAGATAAACTCTGTTGATAACGCCAGACATAAAATTCTACCGGCGGAACATACTTCAAAATACCCGGTCGAAAAGTTCTTTGACGGGAGATTCCCTTTCTTCAAACAAAACAAAATAAACAGCGCAGAGCTATGTAAAAATGAACCACGACTGAGCAATGTTCAGGTACTTAATTGAGTCTACTATACCTGTCTGGTTTCGTTTTATAAAACAGATTTGATGAAATTAAAACTTCTGTACATTTATTTTTGTTCAAAATATATTATTTTAGGTATATTTCAGATTTCTTGTCAAAAACAACATTTTTATTTATTCATGCAAAAATATTTTCGTTCATGAAAAAATATTTTCGTCTATGAAAAGAGAAAGTAGGTACATACAAAAGACATTTTTTGTCACAAGATGGCAGCATCAAGCGAGATTGTATTTTTCCTATTGTAAAAGCCAGTAATATATTCATTATTAATAAACAAATAATATTTCTCTTTTTAAATTATTTTATTTATTTATTTATTTTTTTTTTTGCTGAAACGGTAAACAGAAAAGGAATGATATTATTTTTTATGAAACTATTCTGAGAACTTTCATGAAACTATATGAATAATATTTTTTATGAAACTATTCGAAAACAAAAATAACACATTTCAGTATCGAAATATAAATGAAACTTTTTTTTATATTAATTAATGTCAAAAAGGGTTTTTAATTATTTTCGGTTGTTGAATTAATTTTAACAAATAAATATTAACTTATAAATTAATTTTTAACAAATAGCTTATTTAAGAAACACTTTTTTAAAAACTGAAAATATTTATTTTATTTTTTAACCATTGTTAGACCAAAATAATTTAAGGATTTCTTCTTAATATTTAAGGCTTGTGGTTCAAACGCATTGGGTTACGTATTACACATTGCGTTACAAGTCAAAGTTCATTGTGCTTTATTTATATGGAATTATATTCAACTAGCTATTCAACATCATTATATTCAACTAACATTCAGAATTATATTCAACTACAAAACTTACTATGACATTTATGTTTTGCTTTAGCCCCGATATCTTTTTTTAAAATTTTAATTTTAGTTGATATAAAAATGTTTAATTGCTACTTTCTCTCTCTCTCTTTTTTTTTTAAAGAGAATAAAAAATTATAAAGCATGTATAAATACAATACAAGACTATTTAAATTTTTTCTCTCGAAGTTTTAAAATGGTCATAGTGGATGCTATTAAAAAAAACAATCTAAAATATTCTTATTTTTCAAGTTGTTTTCAGTATTTATAAAATTCGTATAAGAAAGTAGTGACCACATGTTATCAGTTTTCGTCAATTACAAGTATTTTGATTCATTCAATTTTTTCTTTAAAAGTGATTAATGCAAACTTTTTTCAAACTGACAAAAACTAAATTTCTTTTTTACAAATTAAAAATATTTAAATGTAAATGTATTTACAATATATGTTATTGAATAAAAAAAAATCTTCACAAATTCTTTATATATTTATTTGAGTTACCATTTTTTTTTTTAAAATTTTAATAAACTAGTTCTCTTTATATATTTAAAATTTAAACAATATATAAGTTGCAAAAATATGGGTAATAATAATTATTATAATTATTATAATTTTCATAAAAATTTTATTATCATTCGTTTTTAGTTTATTATATATTCTCGAAAATAATTTATAGGAGATATTCAAATTTGAGAGACATATTAGAATTTAGTTAACTAAACTCTCTTGCGCGTTATGGTAAATTAGGTGAACACAGACAAAACTAAGTGTTTTGAAGGAATTTTGAGTTTAAAATTAAATAGCGTGTTTTGTGAGTTTCAAGCGTCTATAGTGTTTTTCATGTGATTTATTCTTTTTCCCCTAGAGCTTTAAAATTAATGTATCTCATATTAAAGTTTTAAATGGCTGTTAGTTTCAACTGAAAATTAAAAAAAAATCTACATGAAAAAGTATAAGATGAAGACATTTATGAAAAAATCTTTTCGAGCAAGATTGATTATTAAATTTTTTAATGCATTATAATATGCTTTACACATCTGAGCATACGAAAAACAAGACAGTTACTTAACCAGAATTTTTAAAGCTGCTCTAGACTCTAAAATTTGATTTTTTGTTACTAAATAAATATTTAAAATAAAATAAATGATGAATGCGAATCTTTAAATTGGGGAAAAAAGTATGTTTTTACCACATTCAGAACGTAAGATGAGACTTACTTACGTTTCTTCACCTGTTGAATTTTTAATAATGCTGAACATAGAACGCTTTTTTCTCCATCATCCTTTTTATTCCTGTTTTTTTTTCTAAATTAAAATAATTTCTTCTAAAACAATTAATTATAAATTTTATTATAAATTTTCATTATTGCGCATAAATTTGACAGCAAGAAATTAGAAAAACTCGCTCGATTGTATTATTCTGAATGTGATTTTGTTTTTATTACATTCAGAACGTAATACATATAAAACTTTTAGTTACTTTTTTCCTCGTGTTGAATATTAAATAACGTTGAAACATAGAGAGCTTTTTTTCTCCATTATAATTTTTTACTGTTTTTTTCTTAAATTTAAAACAACGATATGTTCTAAAAGCTATTTATTATAAATTTTTTATATTGTACATTAATTTGATGCCAAGAAATTAGAAAAGCATTGTTTGATTGTTTAATATCTATCTATCTATCTATCTATCTATCTATCTATATA